GCCCCCCGGGGGAGTGTGTGTGTGTGTGTGTGTGTGTGCATGCCCAAGATCCTGAGAGGAGAATGGAAAAGGGATCGTGGTGTGGCCATCCCCCTTGGGAGGGGGTGATTTCTTGCTTTCTGTCTCTCTGTCTTCTCTGTCTTTCTGGCGAGCACATGCAACTGACAGCAAAAACCTCTCCAAAAAAAAAAAAAAAATCATACTACATGTGCATCATCTTCCGGTTCGTGGTCAGCCTCCTCATGCCATGTCAGCTCCCTAAGGGCAGGGGTGGCTTTGTCCCATCTTGGTTCCGGCTGTGACCCTGAGCCTATAGTGGAAACTGTACATAGCAGACATTCAGTAAACTTTTGTAGGAGGAAGATGCATGTAGATGGTGCCCAGCATGGGAGTCCTCAACATACCATGGCTTGAAACAACGCGATGGGTCCTACAGACTGGGTTGAGAAAGAAAGGGCTAGAATTCTGAGGAAACGCCCTGTACCCGCAGATGCCAGCTGGGCGTATAAAGGACAGTGTCGTTGCACCTCCCCTGCTTTGGGTCAGTTTTGCCTGTCCCTTCCCTCCCTAGTAAGTTTCCTTTATGAAAATGCTGAGCTTGTCTTGGGTCAGCTTAGAGGCAAAGACGTTCTCAGGAGCCCCCAGAGGGAAACAAGAGGTCTCTGGCAGAAATGCTCCCTGCCTGCTCCTCCTCCACCTGGTGCTCCCACCCTAGGGCACGGCCCACAGGAAGGGTCACGAGCAAAGCACGGGGTGGGGATTGGAGTGGAGAAGGCTAGTATGCATGCAGTTAAGGTTAATGCAATCCCAAACCTCCTGGCTTTATCACCAGGAATGGGAGATCTGGGAACAATCAAGTTAAATTATGTTTATAATTAAGTCCAAAGTGAAGGGAACATTCTGGACTTCTTGTCTAGTTCAGGGAAATTGATTCCAGTATTAATATGCTTTTAAAATGAAACATAATTTTAAGGCCTGCTCAGTGGACCCATCGCAGGCCCCCTGGAGGTGGTGCAGTCTTAAAACCAGTCATTGTTCTCATGGTCCTGCCTCTCACCTGGGAGCTACCCCCTGGGCCTGCTCCTACTCCTCGTCATCCTGGCCCTCTACCAGGCAAGGAGCAAAGCAGCCCCCAGCCCTGAACAGGGGATGGCTAGCTCCACTGTCCAAACTTACTGTCCAGACCTTCCCGGGGTACTTGCACAGCCCCCAGCCCTGCAGGTCAGCGAGGCAGCTGGTGTCCCCCCATTAATGTCCTGAAGCCGGAAGCTAGAGATGAGGGTTAGAGAAACCAGGGGCACTCTTGGGACAGACGAGACAAGGCTGAGACATGGCACTGAACGGTCCATGTGGGTAGGGGTGTGAAAGAGGCGTTGAATGGGTGACAGCAGGTGTGACTGTGTGTGGGTGTGACTGTGTGGGGTGGCATGTGTGACAGTGAGTGTGACTGAGGGTGTGTGATGGCACGCGTGTATGGGTGAGGGAGCGTGTGGTCCGTGCAGAGGCAAAAGC